GGTTCGAAACCCTCAAATCTAACTCTCCTAGTGTTGTGCGGTGCCCGTGAATTCCGGTTCTATTTTGCGTAGGTCACCTTAATTCTTATATTGACAACAATGACATTACTAACAATCGAGTTCAGTTGGAAAAGCAGGCCTAGGAAAGGATATCTGGACCCTCGAGTTCAAAAACATCACTCGCATTCTCTACGTACGAGTTTCCAACTGACACGCGGAATTGATAACCTGCTGACCAAATCCTTTAGCTTTTCTATATCCAAGAAATTCTCTACGCTACATGTGTCGCCCTCATCAAGATCTGTTTCCTCCTCTTCTATCTTCGCATCTTTCCGAATGATCGAATGCGCCGCGTTATCAAAGCATCCTGCATCATCACCGTTTGCTGGGGCATAACTTTCATATTTGCCTTCGCGTTCCAATGCACGCCTATAAGCTATAACTGGACGAGCTGGGACGGCGAGCACCACGGTTCTTGCGTCAAGACGAATGCGCTAGTGGTTACTGCCGCCGGATTGAATATCGTACTTGATGCTTGGGTTATTGCCCTTCCTATACCCAAAGTGATGAAGCTCCAGGCATCAGTCAGTACAAAACTCCAAGTCACATTCATGTTTTCTGTGGGGTTCTTGTGAGTTCCTGGTTTCACCTTGCTTTCCTTTCTTCGGCATCAGACCGTTTAACTACTAACACTAATCAAAAAAAGAATCACAGGTGTCGGCATCTACCGCGCTATAATGCTCAAGATCTTCGCAACAAGCACGAACGCAACATGTAATATCCCCGAATGTCCTTTCTTCCATCCACCAGATTCTCTAACAATTTAGCAACAGGGGACATGGCTGCTGGCGGCTACTGGTCCGTGATAGAAATCGATGTGGGCATTTTCTGTCTTTGCCTACCCGCTTTGCGATCCTTGCTCGGTCGCCTCTTCCCCTCTGTGTTCGGATCAACAAAGGAAGCCAGCAGCATGGGACTACCAGGCAGCCAAAAGAAAATTCGAACTGACAATCGCGATGCGAACACCAGCTTTGTTCAGTTGATCGAGATGGATCATGATGGGGGATTAAAAGGTGACCCTGATATACATTAGCAGGTGTAAAAGATCTGGCGCTCTTGACATGCTTGATACTTCTTATTTTATGATACATTTATGTTAAAATCTCAATGTTAGTATATGAAGGAATGTCAAGAGAGTCTACTCTACGGGCCACCGGGGCACCGGACGTTCAGTGCCCTCGGTGTGCACGGGGCCGGCCCGGCCTCCTCGGGTTGCCGAGGGTGGCCATCCGATAGTACAGATCGGCATCCGCACTTCCGCAGCCTCCTTGGTGGGCCTCAAAGACTATCTCAGGGGTCTTGTGCCCAGGCTCCCAGGTGTCCAGATTTTTTCGGATGATCTAACTAAGGAACAAGATTTTGTTAGCATCTTCTCTTGAGTTCGCTCTTGATTTGCGCTGCACAATCCCAGATTCCACACTAAAATCGGCTCCCATTCCTCCGTATATGCCCAAAGCCCTCAGGAAATAGGAAAGACAAATTGATGAGGTTTTAGCCAAGCTGATCTAAAGAGCCCCTTCACCCCGCAAGATCGTCTATGGTTTGCCGATATACGCTGCGCGAAGCTTCGACGAGCCCAGGGGCGGTTTTATGAGGTTTACCAACCAGGAACCTCCAAGCCCACCCTAGAAGCCCTGATGCTCCCGAAGCTGCGTATACAACCCCCAAATCAGTAAAGAAAAGGGCGCTGCAAAAGTTTTGATCACATGCATTCCAATTGACAGATCCCCAATAGTATAGATTCACCAGCGGAAGGGGACAAAATGCTTGAACAGGGTAGACTCCAGATTTATGAGCCACGAGAATTGCAATGGCGAGGGAAATTTGCAAGTTATTTGCCTCACATTTACATGAAAGCGTAGTGTCGGAATATCTTCAACAATTCTTCTGAATCAAGTCGGCGGGTCTTCAGAAAGCTTGAGCAAGACACCAACTAAATTTTGGACACATCTGACAAAATATGATCACTGAGATCAGCACTTCGGCCGGCCACGTCAGCCGGTATGTTTGTTTTACAGAACACATAAAAAAGGGTTGTGGAAGGCATGATTTCCACAACCATTGAACACGAGTTGTAGTTCATTGACTGCGATTCCTGCTTTCTTAGATGATGACTATTTACGATGCATGCCTAGGCCAGTCATCCTTATGACTGGGTCGTTCGCCGCTTAGTATGCGCGTAGGGCTGTGTAGTTAACAATCGTAGTCTCAGCATTATTGGTTGCCAGATGAGGCCAGGAACATGTGAGGCATTTTCGCTATTGGCCTATAGCACAACGCTGTGATTATCTGAACATCTATTGACAAGAGGTCGAAAGGGCAGGGCTTTTCAACAGGTATTGGAGCGCTAAACCATAAATGGCAAAAGACTAACCGTATAGCGTAATTCAGGGGGGCGCTGTCTACATGGGCAATAGAAATTGGAGTAACAACACGAAGATTCAAGGGCCATAGATATGCAATGCTCTAATCAATGAGTACGATGAATTAAGAGGCGACTAGCAGGATATATGATTCACGAAACATCTCATACCTCTGACACCCTGACATATCATCATATCCGATGATCCCACGATGTGACGGACAGGGAACTTCCCAATATGGCTAGTAGTTCAATAGTACCGATCCAAGTGGGACAAGTTGCAGAAAGGCAATGCGCCAAGGCGAGCAACCCTCAGTCACCTTCGGGAGAACACCACCCGTCCATTCACTATGCCCAGCAAAGGCATCACTGTATACAGCTATATCGGCGTTCCGGGCTACGAGGTCGGCTTTGCTGTGCCCCAGCAGGAAGTGCTCCATGATGTGGCCCACAACTTTACCAGCCGTCAGCTCGAGATCGACTCGTCGCACATTCAGGGGCTCGGCAACTTCACAGGTCGCTTCGAATGGACCGTCTTTCGCTATGGAGAACGGGTGGCTGGCGCCCATAACGACGTTAGCAGTCTGACGGGAAAGGTCGAGGGAGGCACGATGGTCGCGACACAGGACTTCCACCCGATCGTGACAGAGGACGCCATCATCACTTATGGCTTCTATGCCGCGGGTCACGGCGAGGTTGGTCTCACCGATCGCCATCAATGCTATGTGACCATCTGCTCGAGAGGAAATCGGGAGTGGATGGGAAGTGTGGCTCCTCCGGGATCCCCTGCTGCACAGCAGCCCTTCTCGCGCTTCGTGCTGGCTGCGCCACACGACAATGGAATGAATGGGATGACGGCATGCGAGGCCATCTTTCAGCATCTCGATTCGGACATGCTGGCAGTCGTTCGCCGGCTTGTCCCTCTGCTCGAGCACGTCAATCACGTTCCAGACCACTTTCTCATGAAGAAGCTACCTCATATCGTATACGGCCTCTCCATCACCCAAAAGAAAACCGTCTCGACTATGCTGGCCATGGGAGCACGGTACTTTGAGTTCCGTCCAGCTAAGCTCCTTCCCATGTTTCAGAAAGTGTCTGCCTTACGAGACACTTTCTACTTCCAGCATGCGTGCATCCCCGGTATTGCCTTTGACGAGTTCCTCCGCGAGCAGGTCGCCTTCCTCGACGAGAACCAAACGGAGATTGTCACAATCCATATCCGATGGGATAACATCGTGGCAGACTGCCAGCGGCCCACAGAAGACGAGATCTCAGACGTGTTTAACGAGGCGTGTGCCAGGGCTGTGCGTAGCCCGCTCACATGGGGAACACGCGAGTGCTTTGAACAACCGATTGAGGAATTGCGCCGCACGGGGACTCGTCTGATTGTTGTCATCGAAGCCGACAAGTACGATAGCTGGACCGCTGAAGCGTACGCAACACTGAGTGCCGACCCGATAATCGACCGTTTTGAGTCCATGACTACCGAGGGACAGGCAGACTCCGACTTGACCATCCTGCAGTGCCAGGCGACCTCCCAGTCTATCAAGGAAGTGTTTGTCTACAGCGTCTTCTCTGCAGCAGCGGCTAGCTCTTGTCTCACGTCGACCAAGGGGATGCTTGACATGCAAACTTTGCCTTGGATTAGAAAGAATGCTCTGGATAGACTTCGGGCCGAGAAGACTATTGTTCTCATGAATGACTTTATTGATGGGGCAACTGTCGACACGTCCATTATGCTTTCGCGTCAGCGCTTGTCCTTGTAAACCAACCATCGCATACTGTGCATAGATAGAATGGTGCCTGCCATATTGTGTACATACTAGATAGATAGTATTCGGTGTTCTTGTCAATTACTATATACTTTGTTTTCTTCAGCGTACTAAAGGCTCGAATTCTGGCATACTCTCAACACCCATCCACTCATTCCATCTAACTCACAACTCTTAGTGTTTCGTAGTACCCTATCAGTACTGATCTGATGCTGTCTATCTGCCGCATTGCTCCAGTCCGGTCAAAAAGTGTTCCTGTCTCATCTGAGCATGACACTACACCATCCTGATTCCCTTGCACGAAGAACTGAACACAGCACGGATTGGACAATGCCAGCGGCGTCAGGTGATCGTTGTCCATCCTTCCATTCGTCAGCATATTGAAAGTTCTTGTTTCACCTTCTCGTCCCCTCCGTCCATCTACCATTTACTAGGATCATCCCTGATATAGAGCTGACAACTCATCAATTCACCCTTGGCTTCGCATTTCACTTTAACAGAATGCAGAACGATGATGCCGCAAATGTGACTGGTCAAATTCCCATCAGCAGACCAGAACCGAAACAACCAACACCTCCGGTCGGACAGGCCATCCCGGAGGACGTGGGATTCTTGAACGAAATGAATAGTTAACAGACTCAATACATCAATTTGTAGCTCCCTTCACTAACAAGACTCCAGCCGAGCAAATTATACCAAGCAAATTCAATAATCAAAGTTCCGTCGCTTCTGCACAAATTACCACCCATCCAAAGATGAACGAAAGCAACCAAACAAAATAGAAATACACATCAGCCCATATCACTAGCTAATACTTGATACCGAATTTCCTTCTCCACCATCTCAAACTCCGTCGCCAATTTCTTTGATATGCACGACCCAGTGCAATTGGCCCAAAAAGTTTCTGTGCCGTGGTTACCAGGGTGATGTTATTGGGGGAACTTGAGATCTTTTCGGCCAGAAGATACGGAAAATCGTCTTATTCTGTGGTTGTCGACCAGTCAGACGAGCGCCAGAAATAATCGATAAGCACATCCACTAAAGACGAGCATGGGATACTGTATGCGGTGTTTCCTAAGTCGGCGACTTTTGTGGCAGGGGCTGGTAAATACAATAGCTATAGAACCAAAAGAAAGAAAAGAAAAAGAAACTGTCATCCAGCGCTCATGAATAGCCGGAGAGCGTAGTCACTCACGTCGTGTTCTGCAATAAACTCGACAGAAATCTCGCCTCCACCAAAAGAGTCTCTGTATATTACGCGATTTGTACCACTTGGGAGGAAAAGGCGGGTGGTGATCAAGACATCTATCAGTCGGGGAATCGACCCCTGCCCTGACACTGCCACAGAGACCGTGTTGGCCTCGTACGGCTCATCGGACGAGTCAGTGAGTTTCTGAATGTGTAAAAGGGGTAGCGCTTGATTCGTAAGGAATGGGTGGTTTGAATGGAATAAGTCAGTCAGGGATACATACTGTATGCACTGGTTTCCAGGCCGGGAGACTGTGCCTGATGGACTGCCGGCCAATGACGACTAATTTGACATCATCAAGTCGCCTGCTGCGCACGATACTGGTTGTTATGGTGTGATTGCACTGCGGCCATAGACTCCAGGCATTGTATTGTCCTGCATTTGGCATCATCGTTCGATGATGAGATCTTCTCAACCGCTCAAAGAGAAGAAGACGACCAGGCACCTTCTTATACATATCAGCTCCGGCCCTTCCGTGGTGAAAATTCTCGGTATGCCTTCTACTATCTAGTACCTTTGCATTTGTGTTCTGACACCAATGCCAACAGAAGCTCCCCCGGCTTCCTTTCCGACATCCCCGTGTGAGAAACTCTACCTGATAAGTTGTTTCATGCCAATCATCGTGGTGAAGCTAAATCTACATCGCGATGAAAGTACGTTCGAAGCATCCGGGACTGGTATATATTTTTATAGGTAATACGTAGGATTTATTACGACTGGTGTGACATAGGTTGCGGAGACGCCATAGGGTTGGGAACAAAGTACAGAATGCATTCGTAGTAAGTAGTACCACCTCGGAATTAGTCTTCTTCAATCCAAGGGGTATTGCCGCTGTAACGTTTTACGGACTTCAGATACCTCTTCCAGCTTTCATGTTCAATCTCCTCCACTGTTCTTCTCTTTGGTTGCGGTGAGCTTGGAAGAGCATTTTCCGCACGAAGCTTCGCCTGGAGCCCCAAATAGTGTGCACGATGCTTCTCGGGGGTCTGTTCACCTTCACAACCACAGAGGTAGTCCCAAAGAGGCAGAAAACCGGGTCGCAATTCGTTCCGGCAGAAAAGCCCATGCTTAGCAAGACCTGGAGCTTTCTGCACCCAGGAATCCAAGACCTTCTGCCACCGATGCTCCCACCCACATTCCAATCCCTCATTAGGATTCCGGTCCCGACACATCAGCCATATCAGGGCTTCAACGATCTTGACTGGTTTGATCATTCTTGCAGGAGTCAAATCTATTGGAGGACGCTGAGACCTACTACGATAGTAGGTCCCTGGGATCCTGATTGGCATGTAGTACGGATCATCCGACGAAGGAGGAGACGATGGTAACTCGGGGAACGCCCAAAGAAGAGACGACTTTTCCCAGAACATCACAGGTATATCACACCCTAAAGTGGTTGCTTCTAAGTGCACATGCGCTACAGCGTCCGGCCTATCTTGCCAATGTCTCGTCGCCGGACATTCTTCCCCGTATTTGCATGGCTCGAGCCCCGCAGCCAGAAGTATCTGGCATGCTTTTTCGGCCATGCCATCGTGAATGATGCATTCGATACCCTCTTGGTTATGTTAGAGAGATAGAAAGAGAGGGAGAAAAGAAAACCAGGGACCATTGTCAGAGACCGGGGGAGTGTGCTTACCGACGAAACATGTTCTTCGAGGAAGCGCTCAATGACGTGGCCCCAAAGTACGTTATTGATTCCAGCTTGGTCCAGAGCATCCGTAATTAACTTCAACTGATCGGCATACAGTTCGCTGAAACTATCGAACATCTTGCCGGGATGTTGTGACCTGATCCTGGTGTTTCTGCAGCTTTGTTTGTCGCTCTCGTATTTCACTGAAGTAGGAATAGTAAAGACGTGTAGTAGTACTCTTGTGCTTGGCTAGAGTTGACCTGATCACCGAGTACACAACGGGGATTTCAAGCCATTTATATAGATACTGTTCTTGAAAGGTGACTCACTGCTACCTAACTCGAAGGCATTTGCTCTATCGCGACTTGCCTGCGATTTGAAACCCTTTTTCCTTTCGGAAGACGTTTCCTGAAAAGGCCCACTCAATATCGTGAATTGCTTCAGTTCATTAGGTTACTTCTCTAGTATAGAATCCTAAGAAGTAGCGGAACTTTTCTACCAAGGAACAAACTTTCTATCTTGTACTTGATCGACCGATTGATCGACATTCTTCCGTGCTTACTTGCCATGCTAGTATTTTTTTTAAACCGTGCGAAAGGCGGGAAAGAATCTGTCAAAGTGTCCAACTGTTACCCTGTGGCTGAATTCAGAGTCTTTGAAACTTGCAGATGACCACGGGAGGAATCCATCCTGGAGCTTCCTGATGACAAGATTTGATGACTCTAGGGGATATCTCCGAGTGTTTCCAAGCCGTTTGATTGGCTTGAGATATCTCATTCCTATTTGCTAGACGCTTAAATCTGAGTAGTCATGCTGCGAGATTTTCTTTTCATTTCTTTTTCGTTGTTATGCTTGCTCGTTTGTCTGTGAAACTGTCAGCAACCGGTTTCTTCACACCGTTGCATCCGCATTCATCAAGGGAATTATCCGAGATTGTTGTTTCTATCAAAGAAGCATAGTTATCATTAAGAGCAGTGAAAGAAGTGTCACATCCTCACAGTTCTGGTGGTATAATTTTTTGCAATGAACATACCGAATAGTATGGAGAAGCAGACCAAATAGAGTAGTGGAGTTACATACTTGCAAGTGGAGTTTGCGGTCAACCCTAAGCTTTTCTTTTTTTCGTTCCGGGAATTGAATGGATGGGGGCTTGCGCCACAGAGGGCCCAGTGCGCTCGTTACACGCCGGTTGATGGCTTTTGACGGGTTGGGGGGGAGTTCCTTTGCATAAATCTGAAACGGTTAAACTCAACTGATCCGTTTGCTAATGATGCATATGGACTAGTATTTGTAGATGCTGAGTTCGATTAAATTCGGATGAATCAAGCTTCTTGGCATTTATTTTCATCATACTTTTTGGTGTGGTAGTGTACCAATGCATCAATGGCACTGCACGTGCTATTCCACTCTCTCTGAAAGTATCAACCTTTGACAGGACCTAATTTGTTACGTGCTTACTTCATTTCTCTTATTGCATAGAATGCAGTACGATCATCTGTAGTGGTAGAAATAGTCTGTCGCATCCAGCCCTGGCGCCAAGACACCAGAGACCTGAAGGCATGTGAGTGCAGCCTGAGGCATTACGGCTGTGTAAGCATGCGTCACGTGATGCTATGCGAGAGAACCTAGGATATCCTTCCTAATCTCTTAGCTACTTTGTACTCTGTGTGATGATGGAAAGTGACCAATGTGCTGCTCTGATGCATGGACACTAGTTTCACTCTCCAATTATCCGAATGAAGGAGGGGTAATGGCCATCCATCCTAGTCTTACTTAATGTTTATCCGGAGGTTCATAACGCTTATGGATCGGATCCAGCTGAGCTCTCAGCGCCGAACTACTACTTCATAGTCTAGATGCAGGATGATATATCTCCAAGCCGTTACGGATCCAGAACTTACCGCGTACATGCCATGTTATCGCTACGCCTTTTCCCGAGCGGCATGGCATGCACTGCAACTCGGCTGGTCACCATGCTCTCTCTGCCTGCATCACTGGTGCATACGGGGATGTAACCGCTTACAAAGTACTACTAGTAGTAGTTCGCGCTGGCAGTGACTATAGGTACATACTTAGCCAGCAGGCTAGCTAACAGACGACAGTAACTATGACTGCCAGCGGCTGGATATTCTCTCCGGAGGGAAACCACCATCACAATAGGCGGATACGCTCTCACCCCCGGTATCTACTTAGTACTGAGCTACTAGCAACAGTTGGCAATCCAGCCAACCAGGAGCGTTGTGATCGGCAACTGTCACGGAACTGCGTACGAAGGAGAGAAAGAAAGAGGGGAGGGTAAGAAATAAAAAGACAGGGGATGGAATGGAACGAATGGTGCGTCGGCAACCATCCAATGTGACGCCAGCCGACCGGCGAAAATGTGATGAGAATCGAAGAGAAAGTGTGTGCTTCGGGACCCAACAGGATGATCCGAAAGACCGCCAGACCAACAGGATTCATCACTCGTGTGAACAGAGCCACATAAGGGTGCAGCGCTAGGGGTTCGTTCGGCGCAACTTGTGCTTAGACGCTTAACTCGCTGGCCAATAACTAACTACAATACGTATGATTGATTTCCCCCCGCCGCAGCAGCAAAGCAATTTGCTTGCTTGCTTGTCGTCCATCCATTTCCTTTTCCAAGCGCCATGCCATCCCCTCTCCACCTCCGGCGATTGTGATCACCCAATTGCCACTATACTTGCTTTGCTTAGTTAGTTATAATCTCGCTGCCTTCCGGTTTCTTGTCCTGGTGGGTGTGGGTTGTGCTTCTAGATTATTTTTTTTTTCTGTTTCTCTTTCTTTGCTTTTGTTCTTCTTTGGTTCTTGATTTGGTGACTTGGTTATTACTACTTGAATGTTGAAGAACTTCATCTTCGCACACTCATTGTGCTGTGCTGCTTATTGATGCTTCTCTCCTCCGGGTTACGAGCGGAAGGTTTGCGCCTCGCCGCTACATGTAGAACCCTACGGGACGACCGCATTTGAGCGATCTGAAATTACCGTTCACCCTGCAATAGCTTTTTTCTCTTGGGGGGGTCAAAGAGTCGGAAAGCTCTGTGCACTGGGAATATAGTGTCTGGAGCTGTAGACGGGTCTACGGGTTTGCGATCTGGGACCAGAAGCGACCGTCAACATGAACAGACAACTGCAGCTTAATACGGCCAATCTGAGCCCCAATCCGAGATACTCTTATATGGAAACTCCATTGGAAATGCACGCTCCAGGGAGCCGACTGAGAGATGAGATCACACCTCCAGCGGCCGCCCAGTCAGCAGAACCACAGACTTTCATGGAGCACTTTCAACCGCCGTTAAACGAAAAGTCGCAACAGTACCAGCAAGATATGGCCGTTCAAGGCTACCCTTGCGGACCGAATCTCGAGCAACATCCAGCCAACTATGCGCCGTACGCGGACGAGATCCAGCAAGTCCAGCAGAATCCAAAAGTGCCCGAATACTCATACGCACAGCCTCCACAATCCCCAGGCCCTCTCCCAGTCAAAAGGGACCTGGAAATGGCAGAGCCGTTACCGAAAAAAGAGCCTATGGCTGTTGTACCAGACACGAATCCTTTACATTCGCCCCAATTACCCCAATTTCCCCCTCCAGTCGCCCACGGGGCGCCAACAACACCTGTAGGATTTGATCTCATGGCATATCATCGCCCAGGTCAAATAACTCACCCAGATCTTGAGATAAAAGGCGGATCATGGCGCACTAGCATGTGCGGATGCTATGATGTTGGGTCATGCTGTCTCGGGCTACTCTGTCCATGCATCCTATTCGGGAAAACGCAATATCGACTTTCTATGAAGTCAAGAAATGAAGACCCAACAAATATGCTCGGGTATGAAACGTGCAATAGCTCCTGCACTGTTATGGCTTTGCTCTGCGGTTGTCAATGTAAGTGCGCACCTCTCACGTCAGTCTTCAGCACCGGCAAAGTATGCTAACAAGCTGTCGCAGGTTTTCTGGCGGCGTACCAGCGCCGTCGAACGCGAAAGGCCTATAAGATTGAAGGGGATATTGTCTCCGACTGTGTTCGAGCAACGTGCTGCACATGCTGTACGCTCATCCAAAACGAGGTCGAGGTCAAGAAACGGGAAGAAGAACGCAGCAGATATGCCAGTGCCACGGGGGCAGCATTGGTATCACCATACTTGCCTCCGACGCAGATGTCGTACGGGCCACCTCCGAGATGATGGGAAGGCTGTAGGAGCTTTTCCGGGGGAAGAATGTGGGGGTGTGAGACCCTGATCGCTGCTTGAATTATAGAGAGGGGTGGAGTAATGGGGATGTTTGTACGACGGAAGTGGTGTCTGAATAGGGGACGCAGTGCATGGGGTCTGGGTAACTCCGGTCCTCTCTCATCCACCTGTACTACCATGCTTGTTTTGTTGGGAGGCTGAGATCTCCATGTGATCAACTGTTAGTCAAACAATTTCCCTCGTGGCCTTCGTCTTATGCTTGGGTTCCCATCGCGGGTTGATTTTTTGTCATGACTGCTGGTGTGGACCTGCAATTGGGGTCCAGCCAACCTGTACATACATGAACACCATCAAGACAATTGTCATTGTTGCATTGCAGAAACACTAGCAAGAATCTTAAACGTGATAGCTGTACAGTAGTAAGAAAGAAGTATAGTTCAAGTAGTTGTTGAGGTGGAGATTTGGCAAGCGGTGTACAAGAAGAGCCGAACTGGCGACGGCAATCTGGACCGCGGGTGGCGGATCTTTCTATTGCGCTGCCAAATCCTCCTCCCCCTCGCCTGCTACTCTCCACGACGTATCATCCCGTGTACCACCCTTACCACCTCAGCTCTTTCGCAGCACCGCTTCCCCTACGCTCCGTTGTTGTTCGCTCCCTCATCTCCCCCCCAAATCCCTCCCAGATTTCTGTCCGATCACCAAACCCCGACGCGGATCCCCTCGAAACCTGTCTCCCCGCTCCCCCTTTTCCCCATTCATCACAGCTTCCCCCGACTTCCTCCGCCCGTCCAACATCGGATAAAGCAACTCGCTCTCGCCTGGACTCTCGCGCCCTTCGTTGCCTGTCCCTCCGTCTTCTTCTACCAGCACCACCCTTCCCCGCCGGAATGATGGTTGCTTGAAAAGGCCACATGTGACGGGTCCACTTTGACAAGGGCATTGATGATAGCCATTACGACTCATCTCGTAGGGGTCTGAGGGCTGCTCCGAGGAGAAATCAATCGTCCCCGCCGACCATGGGGGAACCCGCTCATCTAACACCTCGCCAAATATGGGCTCAACCAACGACAACGACCACCAGGACTTATGAAGCGGACTGCACGCCTTTTCTATTACCCAGTTCCGGTATGTGGATTCGTGCTGGGCCTTGAATGCGGCCCGGCAAACAAATTCGCTTCCGTCCGGTTACACTGACGCGGCGCTTCGGCGGCTGCTTTGCAGGTTACGTCTATTTGAATCGCTCCTACTCCATCGCCTTGACCGAAAATGCCATCTACGATCCCATCTGTACCGGCACGGGCACGCCAACTGCCACGGCCCATGCGGTCGCCGCGCTCGATGTCACCGATCCTTTCTATTCCTCCGTTACCCCGGCGCTGTATGCTATGGGCTGTACGACCGTTGTCAGCTATCTTCTCGTTATAATACTTCTCATCACGCCGCGTACATTTTATGTTGGGGGTCCTGGTGGTGGTGCAAACTTTCTCGGACGTCATGGTATGATTAGCGGTTCGTACAGTGGTAATTCGTCGGTGGTTGGCGTGGGTGGTCGGCCGTGGCTACAAAAGGTCGCGGCCTTGTTAGTCGCTGTATCACTCACCATTGCGACTGTCGACTCCTTTCGTGTGGCTGAACAGCAATATTATTATGGCTACTCCGATGCCGAAGCGCTGGCGGACGAGGTCATCGACGGTATGGAGATCCGGGTGGTCAGAATCATTTCCAGCACCTTTCTGTGGCTGGCCCAGATTCAGACCTTGATTCGGCTGTTTCCTCGACATAAGGAGAAAATCATGATCAAGTGGGCAGGGTTCGCGTTAATTGTCTTTGATACCACGTTTAGTATCCTCGACAAATTCTTGGTTAAGACTGACACCGTTCATCCGCGGCTATACGAGGACGCGATCCCCGCTCTCAGCTATCTATTCGAACTTGCTCTCAACCTTTTGTACGCCGCTTGGGTCATCTTTTATTCGCTTTCGAAACATCGATTCGCCTTCTTCCATCCGAAAATGAGGAATATCTGCCTGGTGGCCTTGCTCTCATTATGTGCGATTCTTATACCCGTTGTGTTCTTTGTTCTGGATATCGCAAAACCGAAAATCGCCGGATGGGGTACTTATGTTCGGTGGGTTGGTTCTGCTGCAGCGAGTGTCGTGGTATGGGAATGGGTGGAGCGGATCGAGGCTTTGGAACGCGATGAGAGGAAGGATGGAATACTTGGACGCGAAATATTTGATGGAGACGAGATGTTGGAAGTGACCCCTTCGGAAGAGGTCGATTGGCCGCGCTACAACCCTGACGGCCATGATCGAGGTGGAGGCGGTGGAACATCTTCAGGCTGGGGAGGCATGATGGGATTGGCTCATCGACCTTTACGTACGAGGGTTGGTCGTAACTGGCAGTCGAACCTGGAGAACCAACAGCACAACATTCCCATGGACCCTCGGCGCCGGCGCATCGCGCCCCGACCAACTCCTCCCCCAGCAGCTATAACGCCTGTCAGTCGCGCTGACACAACCAGCGCGGCCAGCACGGTATACAACATACATTATCATCCGGTTTCTAGTCCCACTCCGCCGGTGGCCATGCCTCACATGGAGGAAGAGGATGAAGACATAGACGAAGCGGTGGCCGCAAAGGAGATGACCACCGACGGTCAGCAAGCCGGCCTGGCGCAAGATGCGCTGGCACAACAACAGACCCGGGAACAATCCCCTCAGATTGTGCACGTGGATAAAAGGTGGCGAGCGCTACTCAATCCTTTCAAGCGAAGGCGGGCATCTTTACCAAGAGAAGTCGCTTCTGCACAGGCCGAGGAAGAGGGGAATCCCGCAGGTGCTCAAGTGGAACCACAACATCATTCCTTGGATGACAGCGACGACGAGCACAGCTTGCATCCCAGGCATGATTTTCGGTTTGGCTTCCATCGACGACTGCGACCTGGTTCTGGACGACAAGGCTCCGACTCTCCCTTGCCAGTCACGGTTATTCCGGCTAGACGCCGTGGTCAACAGACCTGGTCGCCGCAACAATATCACGAGCCTAGTTCACGAACAACAACCTCGAATCAGCGTGTTCCGCCGGCCCGTGATGACCTGCCTGTGAGGGTGATTCAGCCGCAAACGCGAACCGCCGCTCCATGGAGCGCAGCCGATGGACAAGGGTTCAGTCATGGCAATTATGAGCTGCGATATGACCCTGAAGCTGCAGCGCTTGTGGAGCCTGGTGAGCATTGCTCTGAATCTCAGCCGGCGCTGGACGCCGATGGCTCGGTCAGCGAGCCTACTCGGGGGCCGGCTGTGCGCCAACAACCCGAGCAGGAACTCGACCCGACGGAAGGAGCACCTATATCACCAACCCAACCTCTTCCAGATGAGGCTCCTGAAGAATCACGAGGGCCACATGGCCAGCAGTGACGTTCACGTGTAACGTGTGATTGCCTGCGTCTTCCTGTCTCAAACACTCCATTTCGCTTCTGTTTCGCATTTTCTGCCGCTGATGTCTGAATTTTTAGCGGGGAGTATTGGAGATCTTGGGTGCTGCCGGATTGTCTACTACTGGAGTTTTCTTTTCTGACACTATTTCTTCCGGTCAAAAACTTGCTTTACTTGCTTTCTTCAATGTTCGGTTTAATCATGGGCTTGGGCTGGGCTGGGCTGGGCACGGGTGTATGCATAGACTGGTCTGGGTTGGTTGGAGCCCTCCATGTCTCAGGCGACTGCACTGTTGTTGATGTACAAAGATACCCTTGGGATGCATATATCACTGATCTTTCCTTCTTATACATGTTGTTATGGAATATTAATGCGACATATTGCTGTCTTCGGTATGAGTGTAGTAAAAGAGTAAGCTGTGATGAACATCCCAGTTGCCACTGAGTCGAGAATGCCGGCAACCCCGGCAGGTTCAACAACCCCACACGTTACGAGATGATCAAAGTATATTTCTTCCCCAGTTGTGGGGGCCACCTTAACCCCGGAAATGCTTTCGGGGGCCGGAGTTGCGCTGTTCGGATGGACCTCTCGGTTTGTGGTCCGCCGACCCGATGGTCCCGACATGAGGCTTTGTATAAGTGCCAGCGTTGCATCCAACCAGACTAGCATCAGCATGCAGACTTAATCGACGTTCTTATAGGATGCATTAGTATATGCCGAATATTTAGCATTGTCATTCAACACTAACTATATAGCACACTAAGAAGACACCAACATGGGTACGTCCTTAATACTGTGGATTATGCAGCGCATACTAAGTAACTACGAGGTATAGGACTAACACCCGTCCACTTCTTCTCTCATGGCTCGACCATGATGCTCGGCGAAGAGTCCACTTCAGCCGACTACTGGAAGAAATGCGGCGACGAAGCCCTAGCACATGGCATCAAAGGCGTGGTCATCATGGTACATCCATCACCCCTTCTTCCCTATCTCCATCTAGCACCACCACTAAACTCAACACCAGGGCGCCCACTGGGCCTGCCACGGCGACGGCATCGAAGTCTCCACGAACCCTAACCCAGGCAAAAGCCCCGTCGCCTACGTCCACCCGTCCAAATACGTCGACTACAAACTCAACCCGGACCTACCCACCTCCCACCGATGCATCTCCCTCCTCAACCAAGCCGGCTTCAAAGCCTCCGGTAACGACACCTTCGAATGGATTCACGACGTCTACCTCATCCTCATCCGCATGTTTCCTGCCGCCTGTCCACCCACCACCCTCATCTCCTCCAACGCCCGCTACGACCCCCACTACCACATGAAAGTCGGCTCCACGCTGCGCCAACTCCGTCGCGAGAACTACCTCATCATTGGCACTGGTGGTGCCGTTCACAACCTCTACCGGAATCGGTGGGCGCCGATGCTGCGCTTCCGTGATAACTTTGCGATGCAGACGCCGCCGGAGGACTGGGCGTTGGAGTTTCGTCAGGCGGTGGAGGATGTTATGGTTAAGTGTTCTGGTGGGCCGAGGATGAGGCGCGCGATGACGAGGTTGATGAAGCATCCTGAGTATAGGGATGCGCATGCTACGGATGATCATTTCATGGCGGCGCTTTTTGTGGCGGGCGCTGTTGGGGAGTGGGAGGATGAAGGGAGCAAGGTTGTGCTGGGGGCGGAGACTTGGGAGTTGACGAATATGTGTAATTCGCAGTTTACGATTGGAGAGTGGAATAAGCTAGGTTAGTTGGGGAGTTATATGTTATCATGCTGATATGTTGTAATTGTTAAGTTGATTTACGAGGAGTATATAGCATGAGTGGCCTGCTTAGTACTTCTCCCTTTCGTTGGCATCGTTGCATTTCTCAAGAGAATACTAGTACTAGTTAGGTGGTACTTATTGGTACCAATCCAATCTACCTTCGCACAAAGTCAATATATACCCCGAATCTGACAGATGGGTTCGCCGTTGTCATCATTCTAGAAGCGAGGCTTGGAATATGCAAGTCATTTGTTTAACCTCGATATGACCGGCAGCAGGACAATAGGGCAGGGATCTGATTGTTTCACAATTGAGCCCCAGACTGGAGGATACGATCAGAAGGAAATTCCGAGCACAGCCTATGCTCTTGTAGTAACCTGGATATTGTAACCTGCTGTCTCCATAGTATAGTTCCCTATCAGGTGGAGGGGAGTCAATGTGCCAACTCAATTACTTATCCTCCTTGCGTCTCACCACGTGTGATCGCCCACCTCACATCTGTCAAACTGGCAGGAATGCTTCCTCTATTTTAAACTGGACCAGTTGTGCAGATGAAGAAGAAGGAGAGGGCGATTAAATTCACTCGAGGTCTTAATTAACTTTAATGACCTTAAAAGAGAGGAGACGGGATCCTGACTCAGCAGTGGAACATCGAAGAGTTTCCGCCATCTGCCATCCCGCGATAATCCTCATCGGAAAGTTACTTCGACTTCATCCCGCCCCAGTCGGAGAGCCTCTGTCCCTTTGATAGATGTCTCGCCTGGCTTATCTCCATCCCCCCTTGTCTCTTTCCCAGTCCATGCTGCGACCCTATCGCCCCTGGGCGTCGCATCATGGCGGCTGTCAACCGGAACATGTTTGAAGCCAGCGTCACCACCGATCGCCCCCAGGGCGCTCCGCTAATGATCCTACCACTCAACTTGATCGCGGTCATTGTCTCTTACGTTCGTCTAGCTACTGCTCTCATGGATAGAGCTTGTGCAACCCACTAACCATCTCGTGCTCTCTTGCAGGTAGATGATCCCGGCGATCTCGCCCGTCTCTGTCGAGCATGCCGCGTTCTCAACTACATGGCTCTCCCCCAGCTCTACAAACACATCACCCTGACCTCCTATGACAAAATCCGATATCGCGACGATGAACCCGAGGGTATGGGTAGCGCCAGCCCTTTTTCCATGGGTCTCAACGCCATCATTACCCGTCCCTATGCTACGCTCGTTCGGTCGCTTACGCTTCGAGGCAACTGGCGGGAGCTCGAGCTCGAGGAACATGCGCGCGTGGGTCGCGTGCCGGACTCGTCGATGATGCTGAACATTGCGGTGCGTGCGGCGGTCGATCGGATGACGGAATTGGAAAGCTTCAGCTGGGAACTCAATACCAAAATGCTGGAAACTGTCTATCTTGGGCTGGCGCAGCTGCCTAAGCTGACGGCCTTGACTATTCGCTTTCCTTCAAGTCGACATCCCCGCCCAACCATCGTGATTCCACCCATGCCACATCTTCGGTATCTAAAGGTTACCGACATTGATCCTCTTTGCTATCCTGATGACATCTCCACTCTGGTGTTCAAGTGTCGCAAGCTGCGCGAGCTCAATATGCATTGGTCTCCCCGCATGCGCAATGCGCAGGAGCCTAGTGTCATGGTTCACGATTACTTCCGCAAGTGCATCGCCGCGAAGCAACCCCTTTCAATTAAGAAAATTGGCCTGCAGAACCTGTACGCTTTGCACACGGAGGATTTCGGTCTCGCGGTAAATGGTAGCACTGTAGAAGACGTCACCATCCTCCAGCACGGCGGTGCGGATCTCTCGATGAACACTTTTGTGGATAGCACCTGGCCCACAATGCCGGCTCATCCCATTCGTATTAAATCGATTCGGCAGGATGCCGTGAGCAAGAGACATGCGCAATTCCTAAACCAATTTACCGGTCTGGAACGGTTATACTTCGTCAACGCCACTCATAATCCCAACGATGATATCAACTCCCCTCGACCTCTGACCTCTGCTGCCGCGCTCTCTCCCCCTTCGTCTGACACCTCTCAACCCGCTACTAATGGTACATCCACCAATTGCTCTGCCGCTGCAACTAACTCCCCCGGTTTGCAAACAAGCGTCCGGGACGTATACCTGAACAACATCACTCTGAATCATGCAGCCACCTTACGACATCTTCTACTCCCCGCTCGCTGGCCCCTATCGGCACCCACGGTCGCGCGCCTTGTCCACGCCAGTCCGCAATTGGAGCAGCTTGGCTTTGCTACAGAATTCTCCGACCTGGAAGCATTGGGGCTTCTTCTTCCATTCCTCCGAAATCTAAAGGCGCTGCGTCTCCTCATTCCCACCTGTACCTCACCGTCCGAGACGGCTCGTACTGGGCCGCTCCCTAAGACATTTAAATACTTCTCTCCATCTGCCAATGCGCTCACCGCCGCCCGTACGCTCTCTGACATTGTGGAAGCCGACGATGACACCTTGATCGCGAGGCTCAGCGAATCTCTTGCAGACCAGCAGATCTTTCACCGGCTGAAGGTCATTGGGCTGGGCCGCAAGGGCTTCCAACTAGGAGACTACTACACTGTGCCAGCCGAGCAGGCCGAAAACCAAGGACACGTCCAGCTCCAAACACCCACAGGCTCTCGTGCCACCAGCGCAGAAGCCAACATAGGCTACGACAAGAGCCCACCAGCCGAGAGACCCTCCCCAACAGCCAACGGCCATAATGCAATGGTGCCATCGCAGCGAAACGGACATGTCCCACCTTCAGTACTGGGCAAACGGCCACGAGAAGAAGACACTCCTACGACAGAACCAGGAGAAGCCAATCATCAGGCAGACGAGCAAGCACCCGACCCAGGCATGAACGCGTGCCTTCCGCAAGTCCTTCTCCGCGACGGTCGCTACTGGCGACGGCGTGTCCGACGCGTTGGCTGGGAGGTGCTGCAACATTGGGAGATATGGGGACTGGACAAACAGGAGTTATGAATTTGGCGTACGGTGTCGATAAATACAATACCCCCCTGGGAATCATCTCGATTCTTTTCTCTTTTCATGAACAATATTTGGATTTAATTGGGCGACTTACGACATTTTGTCGGAGTTTCCCACTGGGCTTATATATAGCATGCATGCATGCCCTTCTAACCGTGGGGTTAGGATGAGCATCAACTTGAGCTGATGCTCGGTTAGTAGATATTATACCATACCATAGCAATATGAGCAACGATAACCTCCTCTCTTAAATTCTGTTCAACTTATACTTCAGCAGTAAATGGAAATCACTAATAATAGTATAGAGGGGTTACCCCGTATTCATGCATGGTTAACTAAATCTGAACATATCTTTGGGTAACAACGAGTATAAACTAGTAAGGTAAGTAGTAGTAACTAATAGCAATTACACAATACTAAATAAAAAATACTACGCAAACACAACACCGACTTTTCTCATTCATGATTCATTAATACCTATTATATCTATAATTTAGCCATATCATCATCACATCATCATAATAAAAAAGGCCAACCACAATAGACCTAAGAAGTACTAGCAGAATTAGTAGAATCGAATTAACCAATTGAACTATGCATATATATATACATAGTATTACCCCGCCCCTTTCCCCTCAACCTTCCTCCCTCCTTCCTTCCTTACTTCAGTACTACCTTCTATATACTTGTATATACGATCCTAGCAGAGACAAAAAGATACTTGTATCATAATGGGCTAGTGGTGATACTACTAAGTACTACTACTACTACTACTACTACTACTATGTTCATCATACGCGACCATATATATATATATATATATATGATAGACTAGTATAATTAACAGCATGTTGCCACCCTATATCGTAAATATATCATCTATACAACAGCAAATACTACTACGCACTATTTACTATCATCATTCTTCTTTCCTCTCCATTACATTACTGAAGTGATGAAGTGGAAGAGGGTATATATAGTATGATGCAATTACTAGGAAGTAGTAGTAGTAGTGGTAGTTAATGAGAGAGGAAAGTTATTCATTCGTGATCATGTAGGTGGCAACTGGCAACTGAATTTATACAAAGTGTACGAAGTTGCTGATTCTACTAATTGTGTGAGTGATGATAGCTTAGTAGATCATTCTCGATATCATATTGCTCAAGGTATAGGGTTTATACAGTTACTATTTATGTTTGCTAGAGTTGGTTGACTATTTATACCTGATACTCGTCATTCTGCCAATACTAATTGTTGGTTCGGTCCTATCAGATCGTTGGTGGTGATTTTCACTACTAAGAGGGTTTGTTCATCTTGCGCTCACAGCGAGCCGTAAGCTGGAAGTATATATTCATCATGTAGATACATTCACATTCCATATGTACCAAGCTTCATCAAATATGTACGGTTCATCATCAAGATCAATATCAACATCATCACCATCATCTGCTATATGTCCACATGTATCCCATCGACGAGGGATGGATCAGCAGATCAAATACCCCCGATTTTTCAGTGTTGATCTAAGCCTGAGCAGCGAAGCCCAGCTTAGGACCCTCAGAGTTGAAGACCACGTACTGGCTCTTCAGGAACACATCACCCAGGATGGACAGTCCCAAACCGCTGTTGCTCTGGATACCGCCGAAGCAGGTGGAGCTGCCGGTCGAAATGGGAGCGTAGTTGATGTACTTTCCAGGAACGACGGCCTTGTAGTCGCCGATGATGACAGTGAAGTCAGGAGGGGTGGTCGAGCAGGAGAAAACGTAGCCACCGGCTTCATTGCTCTCCTGGGCGCCATCAACCTGCTCATAGTAGGCGGAGACGATCTCGTCGTCGAGGAGGATGAGGGTGGTACCGGTGTCTGTACACAAATCAGTAAAGAGAAAGCAAGAATATCTCAAAAGGGTTCTTACCAGCAATGGCGCTGAATCCACTGGAGCTGGAGCTGCCGTCGCCGATGCTGTAGCCATCGGGATTGAATCCCCAGTAGCCCTGGGAGCTATCGGCATCTGTGTAGGTGATGGAACCGGTGTACTTGGAGTCATCGATGTAGCCAAAGTCGTAGACACCGGGGGCGTCGTGCTTCAGCTGCACGGCGAAAAGAGGAGAGTCCAGCTGAGACTTGACGGTGTCGAAGAAGGTGGTCTGCGCCTTGGGCTGGACTGTGTATCGGTTAGCAAATTGGTCACCCAGCTGATGTAGGATCTACTCACCAGTGTTGATGGAGCTGAAGGCTAGTCCCAGAAGACCATCATTGGCCGTGTCCTGAACGAACTCGGAACTGATCTTGCTGGCGGCTTCAACGGCCTGCTTGTTGGTGGTGACACCGCCGACGGTGACAGTATCCCGGTACACGTTTCCGCTGGCCGAGCTGCCATCACCGTAGGAAATGTCCCAAGAGTAGCCGCTCAGCTTGGTCGCGCTGGAGCTAGGCGTGTACACATCGTGACCGGTCCGTTCCGAGGAAGGGAGCTCGTCTGAAAAGACCCAGCTGGTTCAGGTTAGTGACAGTTCGTGAGGACATACTAGCAGGGAAGCTCACAGATCTGCAGATCCGGTGTCAAAGTCCAGATGAAGGGTGGACTTTCCGACAGTGACGGGAGTCAGGTACTCCTCATCATTGTTCTGGGGCGTGGTCACGGCACTACCCTTGCTGGCAGCCTCCTTCACGCTCTGGGGCACCGTACCGCCAAACTTGGCCAAGGAGCGGGCATACATACCCGGCAGGTTGACAGTGCGGGTCTTGTTGGCAGGCCGGGCAATCTGGTTGATGGTAAAGCCCTTGCGAGTGGGAGCCGGTGCCGCAGAGACGGCGGTGGACAGACCCAGAATGAGGGCAGCGGTTTTGCTGAAGACGACCATTTTGACCACGAGAATGTCAAGCAAGAGAGTTCGGAGAAGAGATAGAACCAGACAAAGAAGCCTTAGACTCTTGGTTGATGAACAAGAAGAGACATTCTGCTGGTCGAGCAGACTCTTCTTATACTTGCAAACCCTCCCACATTGACCTCGACCAAACTCATCCATCATCCAAGTCGACCATACTCTTCAGAGCAAAATGTCTCAGTCCCCGCCATGGCAGCCGCGATGATGGAAGGAGATGATGTCCCTTCCAGGAATAAGCCGACGAAGATCCCCGCATGTCCGTCCAAATCCGTGTCGTCCGTCACCCGTGAGGATATTCGCAATTGCCAAGACAGAGCCAACCGGAGGCCGACTCGGTGCAAAGTAAGACATGCAGCCCTGGACCCTGCCTTAGTGGAGACAGGCACGATGTTACCGCGGAGTAGATAGCAGATTAACTGGCAGGGTCTGACGGATAGAGACAAGAGCTCATTCGACCGTGGGGGCCGATCACGATAGCACTGGTGCAACAGGTCTGCAGGGCTAGGCTAAACTGCTGAAGGATAGATATCTTAGGCGCGGATGGGCATAGATTGCGCTCCACCGCCGATCGCTCAGGGTCCGTCGGGACTCCGGAGACGCCATGCGTTAGCCAACATCCAGTCACACGATTCAACTTAGTTATCTGCTGGCACAATGTGACAGTCAGACTTTGACTATCGCGTCTTATCAGTGGTCTAATTTAGCTCGTCGCTGCCGCTGCCCCTGACGGCTCGGGGTTGGCCGACCCATTTGAGCTCGACGGGATCTTTGCATTGGGCCAATAGATTGCAGATGGAGGGTTGGGCGTCCAAGCACATTGTTGGTTGGTGGGCCACCATGGAGAAGCCGTGTCTTCATCCTGCGTTCCTCCTCACGATGGAGACAGAAAGGGAAAGAGAATGTAACCAGAAATGGCGCACTCCGGCGGTATCCGTGGGGATATACATGTCTAACAATCAAAATCACAAGCCAAGAGCCGGAGTGTACAGAAAGGAGACTAGCAAGAATCCAAGAAAAGGGAAAAAAAATAATACTACGCGTGAATTCGTACATTCATGAGACCATCGGTGATCACGATTGCAAAAACTGGGACGGGAGGTTCCCTCCGCCAGCCGACTCAATCCCCTCATGACCGTCATACTGTTCGTTCAGAAGCACCTCCAGCATGTCGAATTCGCCCACCATGGGGCCCGTGCCTCCCAGACCCTGGTCCACCACGGCCGTCGAACTGTTGAAAAACTGGTCGAGTGGCAGAGCAAACCAGTCAGGCAATCCGCCGGACGTGCTCGGATTGTCGTGCATCGCCTGAGACGGAACATTAGACCCATCCAGTTCGCCCGCCGGCGGAGTTGCGCTGGGGTCGTAGTAGTTGTAGTATACCGATGGTGGAGGGGGCATGAACGAGACATTGATGTTGGACGAATTGATCGGCTGGGCAGGGATGCCGGCCAGCGGATCATGGACAGAGGCCATGCTGGTCCCCGTCTGGCTATTGCTATCGACATATCCCAGATTTTGTGTCGCACTCTGCGCTGGTGTCCAGGCATGCGCCGACCCCTCCCGACGGTTCTGTGGCCCTTCACGCGGCCTTGGTGACTGATGTCGTGAGACTGGCGCTGATGGGCGTTCTTGTTCACCGTCACCACTGCGATCCAAGGGCGCGAAACGCAGAAAACGCGTGCGAATGCTGGTGGTGAGCAACTCCAGCAATCGCGCAATTGCGTGGTTTAGGTGGACATCGTCAACTACACAGGTCTTCAAAGCCTCGATGGTGCGATCTTGAAGATCCAGCGACACACGCACATCGTCTTCTTTGGCACCAAGCGTGAAAGTCTGAGAAAACGTCAGCGGAGCCACAAGCTTATCGAGGAATCGATGAGGCTCACCTTCAAGATAAAAATCATCCCGGAAAGGATACGAAAGCACGTCCGGACAGGGGCATGCTTAAGGTGATCGCGCGGGACGAGGATTTCGAGTACGGTCTGCAGGATCTTGCGGGAGGCATCGACCACTTCCTGGATGTACTGCTCGTTGACACGATATAACTCCATGAGCACATGGAACCAACCGGTGCCCGAGGATGGACCAGAATTCGGGCGCGCATTCTGGGCCTGAGCCGCTTCATTCGACATTGTCGTCCAGCGATCCACCACCGCCTGCAAAGCCAAAGAGTTGACATAGAGTCCTGAGAGAGTCAGCAAGTCGAACGTCATAACCACATGATTCAGCTACGTACGGGTATATTCATATTCGATCATCAAGATACACCGCATGGAGGGGGCCACTGCGTAAATCAATTAGCAACCGGCTAGCGTCCAGCCCACGAGGTAAAGAGCACTTACAATCTATCGTGTCAATGTTATGTCGCCACTCGCGCAAGAATGGCTGGAACCGGTCAATTTGATCTCGGTAACGACCGCTGCGAATGAGCTCTGACGTCTGCTCGCTCGACGCAAATAAGAGTTGATTGCTCTGGTACATGATCTTGGAAATTCCAATCCAGCAATCGTGCATCCGGTCAACAATGGTATCTGCCCCATTGGCGGCGCTGGCTGACGTGGGCTGAATGTCGTTGGTCCACTGAGGCAACGGCAGCATGGACGGGATACCCAAGCGACCACTGCTCTGAGTGATGTACACCAGGATCAAACGACGGAGTCGACGTTTCCGCGTCTGCTCGGACGGGGATTCGCCCGCAGCTTTGGCATCGCTCTTCTGGTCGAATACTCCCAGTTCAAATGCCAATGCCTGTGCGGTACTCAGCAACATCCACGACATCCGGTCTGACCGCCAGGCGGGCTCCAGCCACTTCTGGAAGGCCAGCCTCCCTTCAGCAGCACTGTTCGGGACCCGGTTGGCCGTATTGTCAACCTCTGTTTCGAGTTCCTTTTCGTACCGACTTTGCGTTTGCGCGTCCAGGTCCAGCAAGGCATTTTCGTCGTCACCGGGCGGAAAGTGTAGGTTCCGCGGATGCCAATCCGTCAGGATCAGCAGCGCCTCGATGGTGCCCAGTGATCTCAAGTTGCCCTTATGGCTTATCTTTGATGAAGTCGGCGCGAGATCAAACGAACGAGGCCCGCTAATGCCAACACCGTTTCCACCAAACTTTTCCTGACCCCAGAACAAACGTTCAATCATGCCGCGGAGGTATGACCACAGGCGGTCGTGGATGTAGAAAGCACGCGTGTAGGCCCCGTCGCCCTTGGGCTTCATATGCCGCGACGCTGTCGTAAGAATAGTCACTGCGAGCACTGGCTCGTCTGTAAGCAACGTCCGATGAGTGGACGGATGCGAAAAGTCCGGAATCACGATGGGACTAAGCGGGGCAAGATGCTCGTAATAATATGCTACATAGGCCATCGACTCTTCCACGGACAACCACCCTGCACGAACAAATCGTAGTCGCGACCAAGCCTTAACCGCATCCACGAACCCAGGATCCTGTGCCGTTTCTGCAGCATCCGCCGGTCCACGACCATCGGGAAGTCGCGCATCAGCGGACCCTGATGCGCCCGCAGCATAGTACGTACCGCCAGGCACGGTCCCGGAGCGGGGTGGTCGAGAGAACGACCCGCCTCCACTCCGGGGCGTACCAGCCTGCGTGAGCGGAGACATGGGCGAATTGAATGATGAAACCGACTGGCGCGCAGCATACCGGTTCTCCAGACTCTGGCGGTTGAGATCCTCTGTCCGACCAGCCGCCTCCGATAAGAGGTGCAACGCATCATGACTGTTACTGATGGCCGGCGACAACAACTCAACGGCGGTCCGGTTCATCATGGGCTGGCCACCCTCGAGGCTGAAGCTCGCCGCATGACTCCGCTCCGCAGCCGAGTACATGGGCAGTCGCGTGCTTCTCGGTTCGGAGAACGGCGCATTTCCGGACGGCGATGGATTGGAGGGAAACCGATGGCTGGGCGTAGAAGACGATGGGAGCTGCTGTGTATTGTTCGTGGCCGGCGACTCCTCGGTCCATTTTGGTCGGGAGAGACTGGCACCGTTATCAAAGGAAGAGGTGCGCTCGGGCGCATAGGATGAGCCTCCATCACTGACGGATCCGCTATTCGAGATGACCTCGCCCACCATCATCCGCTTATCGCGTCGCAGGACGGCCTCGGTGGGCTCCTCCACTTCGGAGGGCTTGCGCTTCCGCCGAGTAGCGGAGAACTCGCAGCGCTTGCTTTCGCGGCGACATCGTACGCAGGGCGGGGGACGGGGATTATCGACACCTGCCGGGGGGGACGAATAAGCATCAAGGGAAAAGTAACCGGGGAGAGGAGAGAGGGGGAAGGTTAATTAATCAGAAGCTTGGAGCGGGGGGGAAGAAATGAGGGCAACTTACTGCCAAGGTCACACTTGACTTTGCGCTTCCGGCAAGGGTCGCAAGCCTGGTAACCACGCCGATGCTGGGGCTGTTGGGCCTGGAGCTGCTGCTGCTGGAGCTGGGGGGAGGGCGATTTCGGAGCTCCGGGGTCGTGGGAATAGAGGGACTGAGAGGCTGAAGCCGCGGCGTCGTGGTGGTGCTGGCCGTTACTCGCAGGCGCCGCCATGGTTTGATGGAGAGTGGATATTCAGGCCAGAGGGGATTGCCGATGCAAAGCGACAAAAAGCGGTGGGGGGAAACGGCTTTTTTGTGGGCGAAGATCCAGTCGCTGAGTTCCAGATTCTAAACGGCGCTGGTCCTGGTTTCGTCCCGGCCCGGAAGTTCTCCGCGGATAACCAGGCAGCAAAGTAGCAAGCAACTTTTAGGGGGGGAGGGAAATGATGATGGTGGTGGTGAGGAGGAGAAGGTAAAAGACGGGGAAGGAAGTAGTGAATCCGTGGCAGGTGGTGGTTGATGATGATGGAGGGTGGGAATAATTGATAATAAAAAATAAAATAAAAATAAAATAAAATAAAATAAAATAAAATACAACCACCCACCACCACCATAACAATAACACCAGGGAATTGTTCACTCTTTCACTTTCTGCTTCATTTCGGTGTGTCAAGTCAGGTGTACTGCCAATGCAAAATGCGGGGTAGGGAATTTCCCAAACCAAATTCATTCCTTCCTTTCTTCATTCATTCATTCACACTGCTGAGTTGGATTTCTCGCAGGAATTTCTCTCTCTTTCTCTTCCTGGGGGGAACTGTTTCCCCCCATGCCCTTGCATCCACTCCCAGTTCCTGTTATCAAAGCGAATGGCAATAGACTCTGGGTCTAAGATGAATCGAGTAGATTTGTTTGGTCTTTCCCGGTCGCTCCGGTCGCTTTCTCCGCCATTTCCCCCTCCAGGCATCCATCTTCCATTCCTCCATTCTTCCTCGGTTCTCCTCAGACAAGAAAGATTATTGCTAGCTACATACTGAAATCAACTCTCTCCAGCCAGTCTGAATGGTGGAGATACGAAGATAAAACCCCCTACCCTTATAGCCATGGCTGCAATTAAATGGTCATTCGAGTCTTGTGTAGTAGGTTTAGATATCATCACTATGTACACGGACAGCCTGAGCGCGCCTCCGACGGTCAAATAAATTAAAGCCGATAAGCGGGTGAGTGGAAGAACAGCCCAATCCACTCGACCGCTGGATAAAAGAAAAAGAAAGGAAAGAAGGAAGGAAGTAAAGTAAGAAGAATAAGAAGGAAAAAGGGAGATGAAAATCAAAAAGAAAACATGTACACGCTCAACTCCCAACATGGCCTACAAATGCAAGACCCAAACCACATCAATCGCAACAAGCATGATCATGTCATGTGTAGGGTGATCCCAAAGCTAAATCATACACACATAGAAACAAAAACCAAGTTCAAAACAAGATGCTCGTTCAGGCCACAGATGGCGCTGCGCCAGCCAAACTAGTACTCGCCATGGCTCGCTTTCCCTTGTCGGGCGCTATCCCTTCCCCGTTGGCACTTATCACTGAACCCACCACTTTGCGAGGCAAGACCGCCTCTCCGTTAGTACTGCTGGCCTCGCTACCCCGGCGCGATAGACTCGGTGTTAATCGCCCAGGTAGAAGGCCCCGGATGCCCCCAGCTTTGCGTGCGGGGATGTCCGTCGTGCCCGCCGTGAGCACATACAGCAAATACTTCAGGTTGGGGAGGGTATGTCGGATATCGAGCACGCGCAGCCCTTGCTTATTCAAGAGAAACTCAATATCCTTGTTCAGCAGGAATACCCCATACTCAAACCGGTATTGCACATTCACCGGGTAGAGTGGATAGGTTCGCTGCGGCAGCGACGCAGACACCGGGTCCTGAATCAACGAGTGCGACAAATACGGGCTGACCGGGTATGGCAGCGGAATGGACAGATAGAACGACAGCAGATACACGAGATGTGCGGTATAACCCAGCGCCGCCGCAACCCCATCGCGGTCGACATCTGTAAAATTCGAGTTTGGCAGAGCCATTCCAGCAATAGTGAAAGCCAGCGGTTTGTCCGGGATGGGTTCAATAGGATAAATCGCAAGTAGGTCCTCCGACATGCGCCGGATCTGACCGCGGCCCTCGTCCGTGTTCTGTTCCAGCAACTTCACGCTCGAGCCCAGTTTCTCTTGCGCGTCCGGGAGATGACTGCGCGCCCTGGCTTGCGTCTGGCGCCCACGCTCCATGGCCTCTCGTCTCGCTGCAAGACTGGAGATCAATTCTTCCTTCCGCTTCGTTAAAGTGCGAAGCTGCTTCCGCTCCGCTGCAACAGCATGCTTGGCCAGCGCAAGCTTATCCCGGGCCCGCGACGCACTACTGGTCGTAGTCAGCGCACGCTGGTTCTTCTCTAATATCGAGCTGATTTGCGCCTCGAGCTTATCTCGGGTCGTCAGGGCATCCTGAATACATTCATCCAAATTGGCCAATCGCATCAGCGCATCGTACGACGACGTCGGTAACGTGGCACCATCGGCGGATCGGGGGTGGCGGGGAGGTATAGAAGCGACCACGGGAGGAAGGTCAGTTAGATTCGTGTAGACGCCATCTGCGAAATGAAACAGGATCGAATTCGGTGGGAGCGGCTGATGGAAGTTATCCAGCGACTTCCCCAGGAATTGTAAAGACTGCAGACACAGCTGCAATTCCACCAGCAGCAGGTACTCCTCCATGGCCGCCGTACGTGCCCAGACCTTCACCGTAACCTGGTCCCGACGAGCGATTGCCGGCCCACATATATTCAGATCGAAAGACCGGAAGCTGGGGTTGGTGGCATGCTCGACTACCTCACTCACGTAAACCGGCTCGTCGACCCCGTCGCAGTGAATCGAGAACCACGTGTCGGCCATACGGCTGCTCGTAATCTCCTCCAGCTTCACCTGACGCGTGCGCGGATTGGGCCCATTCCAGGGTAGCGTGTTCCTCCTCTGCCATTGTCGCAACGGGGGTGGCTGTTCTCTCCGGGGGCGGTCTTCTGCGCTGCTGGAGGCGGGGGTCGACTTGAGATCGGTGAAGGAGCGCGACTGATGTAAGGGTTTCGCTGCATCCTCGGCGAGCGCTTTCAAGGGCGTATGTAGCGAGTTGGGGATGTTGTCATCGTCGATGGTCTTCCCGCGCGGTCGACTCGGCGGACTAACCACGAGATTCCGGACAGAGACGCCCTGCAGATGGCGAAGCTTGCGATTCTGCGCGGAAATCATCAGCGGGATGCATCAATGGGTATACGCAAAGACCAGAGGATAGTAATGTACCGGAAGGAACAAGCCAGGTCGTTCACGGCGACTGCCAGTGTCGTCGTCGTTGTCCGCGAATCCCCAGGCGGTCGCCGGCAGCGCCATCGCAAGACAGACACTCGGAGGGGAAGCTTAGCTGTCGCACTGCGCAGGGCGTATGTGTCGGGTCATCCTAAGCAGATGACAGAGAATAAAAACAACAGCGACAAATACAATCGAATGAAGTCCCAATTAAAACCCCTTTATGAATGAATTAGCGTTGCTGATCGTCGACCGTTGACATAGAGCTGGTTGAATGAAGCCAGCAAGTTAGTAGTAGTTGGGTTGCCGGCGGAATCGCTCGCCCGGTCGGGATCTCCGTCGAAAAATTGATCCGCCGACCTTCCTCCATTCTCTCTCTCCTCTCCCGGAGCTTCACCCAATTCATCCCCAACCACACCCACCAATTACCCCCGAATCTCTCCGGATCTGGGCCCAATTCGGTAAAATAGAGTGAACGACGAAAGTCAACCGTCCACTCTATTCCCACCACGATCCTCCCCCCGGCCCTCATCACCATCTAAAGAGGAAGAATCCGGTCACGCGGAGAACGGTGACCAACCCGGCCGCGGCGATGGCCTCACAACAGGTGACGAAGACGCCCTTCCAGAAGATCCTGGACCCGACCAAGATCGGAACGTGGAACATTGTGCGCCGTCCACCGGTCGAGAACCACAGCATTATCCAGGGCAAGCCGCGCGAGCAGAACTCCAATGCCTTCAAGACGCATCAGGCCAAGGAGGGAACTCGGTTACGAAAGGCCTTGAAGGCACTCACTCATGGCAAGAACATCTTTGCCTATCACAATATTCGCACGAATCAAGTCGTGTACTCTCTCACTCGGTATTTGGAGGTGAGTTTCCCCCATCCACTATTCCCCAAACCGATTGTATCAATCCAAAAGAAAAGAATCACCACTAACCTCACCACCAGAACAACGCAACCCTGAAACAACTCCTCTACCACGGCAAAAAGACCGTCCCCGCCCGACTCCGCAAAGACATGTGGGTGCCCTACTTCAGCGTGCACTTCAACGACAGCAAAATCGGGCTACGAGCATACCACCTCCTCCGGGAATTCAGCATGCAGCGACAACTCTCCCCACCCAAAGAGATGATCACCATCACGGACGCCTGGATCGACCAGAAACGTCCGCGCGACCCAAAGGGCGCCGAAGACTTCCTGGAGAAATACAAGGACAAGATCGGCCGGATCATGCCCAAGCACCACCGCAAGCGCGCCGTCATGGATCAAAAGGCCACTAGTGTGGCGGATATTGCGGCCGTGCTGAAGATCCAGGAAGAGGAGGTGGCCAATGGCTTTGCGGATGGAAAGAGGGGTTACTTGACTCCTACTGCGCGGAAGAGGAGACGTGCTGCTCGGGCTAAGGAGGAGGCGGTTGCGAACGAGCAGGCCGCTAGAGTGGCTGGGTTGGAGCAGGCGTTGAGTAGTGAGGTTGTGGAGTATAAGGTCCAGGAGACGAAGGATACGTCTGGTGCGTTGGAGGATATGGGAGTGAAGATCCTTTGGAGGGATTTGCATGATGCGCGGTTTGCGGAGAACTGGCCTGAGAGGGTTAGACATGGTGAGTTGGAATTGTCTCGCGATCATGTCATGCCTGGTCAGAAGGGTCTGCGTTCGGAGGTCCTGGCTGAGGGTGAGTTCCGTGAGAGGACGGAGCAGCAGCAGCAGCAGGAGGTTGAGAAGAACTAAGATGTTCATATTTATTTGATTGATATCACATCCTGGGTTGTGGATGGTGTATACATATGCAGAGGGTTGCGTGTTTTTTTCCATTTTGATTATAAATTGTATTTTTACTCACTACTACACTACTTACTACGATTGTTGTTTTAGAGAAATGATGCAATGGCGTTTGAGCAGATCACACTGCATTGATCTTTGGTATTACATCTCATCTCCACTCAACTCCGTTTTCTACAACCAAAACCAAAACCAAAACTCACCTTGACATATCATGACCTTACCATCCACCCCCAAACCCACCCCACCCACAAATACCCAAAATACAAAGCCACAAGAACCCTAAGCACCCTCTCCCCCAACTCCAAAAAATGATACCACATAGCATCCCGGAACCTATTCCGAAAGATCCCCGGATCATTCCCTCTCGGAAAAGGCACCACATGACCATTTCCATCCAAGGGAGGCTTCCTCCCCAGAAACTCGCACAGCGGCTCCCACCCATCCCTGACATGATAGACGAGGAGGTTCTCAGCCGGCACAATGTCCTTGATGTGGCTGTTATGCGCCTCGAAGGCTTTGCGGCCGTTGGCGTCGAAGTTGTCGTTGAAGTAGTATTTCCAGATCTTTTGCCAGGTTGGGCGGATCCAACGCGTTCGGGAGAGGCATAGATTCTCGAGGATGGTGGAGAGGGGGAGGAGGGGGTGTGTGAGAAGAGGGGTGAATGATTTACTGACGGATCTGTAGCCTTTTGTATGAGAAAAGTCTGTTGCATGATTAAGATATGAAGGGATTGAACGCACCTGTGCCAATCATCCACGTCTCGGACTGTCAGTATTACTTTGGCTTCTGGATAAGCTTGGATTAATTCGTCTGCGAAGCAGGCTGCTGGGAAATCCGATACAGCCTATAGTAGCAGTGGTCAGTTTATCTGGCTTAGTATGTAACTCTCTCTCTCTCATCTACTCGATTGCACGGGGGGATGTCTATACCTGACAGTGCCCCAAGATCTGATCAAATTCTTCTCGACCAAATGGCTGGCCTTTTCCTTCATATTTGGCGCTCAAAGCAGCATGCCACATCTCACAGTCTCGAGGGTTCTCCAGAACTGCTGCGTATCCGTGATAGGTATCATTGTACCCTAGGGCTCGGAGAGCTTGTCTCAATGCTTTGATTCTCGTTAGCGGTGGAACAGATCGTCCATCTAAGATGCACACCTTACAATCTGTTCCTGTCCGGCAGAGTCCAAGTGCCAGGACTTGCATAGGTACTTCACGACGACATTTGCGTCTGTCAATGTCGGTGACGGATTTGATGACGTCGTGGAACTGGTAGGTCGTCATTTTGGGTATCTTTACTATAGGTGAGTGAAATACATGTTTGGATGAATCAATGGGTTGATATATCCACCATGTGGAGGGCCATTACCCCCTCGTCCTTTTCAGCCATCGCTTCTAGCAAGCCTAGTGCTTGCTGGATTCTGCCTCTGTCTTGAGTAAGTGGGCATCGGAAATAGTAACTCCGTCTCGTCCGGTCCCCATTTTTGGGAATTTTACATATCCAGATATCTTCACGAGCTCTGATGTTTAGAAAAGATCGTAAAGCCAACTATCCATAGTGCAGATTAGATTCCTCAGCTGGACAGCCATGGCGCTTGTTCCGATAGTGGACCATCAGTACAGGAGTCACACCTGTTCATTGGCTAGTCAAATTTTGAATAATGATTCCCTGGAATGCACATTTCCAAGAAGTACATACCTACTAGTGAGCACTCCACAATCGAAACCATTGAGTAATGAGATATGAAGAAATCGGAGGACTCTGTCCTACGTGGATAATCATCGCAGCTTGCAAAAGCATGCTGTATGTTATCTATGTGGAGAAAAGTCAGCCGCGCCCAAATCGAACATATCTGTAGATGATCTCTTCCTTCCAAAACTATTTGCTTTCGCAAATCTCAGTCCACAGGATCTATTTTCCGGAGGTAGTGCCAGTGGGTCTCGGATCTGGCAGCCCAGATAGTCTCCCGAGCTGAACTGTGATGGATCTCGTGCGGCTGAATAGCACCACCACATCATTACCCTTTAAGGAGTTAGCAGCTCAATAGTAGATAAATGCTTGAGCAGGGTGCAAGAAGAGTTCGTAGCCTTATCAACCGAGCCTTGAATTTTGCCAGCCCACTAAGATCATAAGATAGTATTCGCGAGCTTTTTGCAGCTGATGAATAATGTCGAATCATTACTCCTACTATGATAGGAAGCGGTCGATAATGCCTGTGACAACTATCCTTCAGGCTCTTCAAAGTCTGCCAAAAGTAGGGTTTCGCCCATACCTGTGGCCACATTCCCGGAGTGGGAGATATGCAGTATGACTATCGATTGTTAGCGCGGGATCCAAGAATTGGTGGATTGAAATTCCCACGAACAGTAATCGTCATCGTCTACAATCTTGTGTTCCCCAAAGGCCTTGGCCTCCTTGCTAACTCCTTTTCACATGATCGCCTTGGAGACCCACCGGTGAATATCAAGTTCAATAATGCTCGTTTCTTTTGCTAGATCACACCAAGCCCCATATCAGTTACTGTAGTTGGCTAAGGTGATCTCAGGGTCGATCAGGTTCAGTTACACAACCTGCAATAGATCATGCATACTGCGGGTGACGTGACTACATATACCTTCTGCCGACCTGTGGGCGCTGTGTGACCAGGTGAGGTAGTATATAATCACCCCTGTTGAAACCAAAAGTCAGCCCTCTCTGTTTAGACTTGAAAATTTGTGGCGCAGGCTTTCTTTTCTGGATAGGTTTTGGAGAATCATGTTTAAAATGCTCGACTATTATCAAGGAAAGACAATATTCATCACCGGAGGGTCCGGCTTCCTTGGCACAGTTTTGGTACATCGGATCGCTACAACCATTGAGTTCAAACACATATACTTGCTGCAACGTGGAGGGAAAAGGTAAGCCATAAACTCCAGTAGGAAGAAGAGATAGTGTAAGGCCTACACGTATTGACCATAACAGTGGCCTGTCCGGGAAATGGCACCAACATCTCCCATTTGATACTGCGCAATGGCTTCTAGATCACCCCCGCATCACCATTCTAGACGGTGACATGATGAAGCCTAGCCTAGGCCTTGACGCTGATCACATTGAGATGTTGAAGCGCAACGTCCATATCATCATCCATGCCGCATCTTCAATCAACCTTGCCCAGCGGCTTCAAAAGATTTGGCCCAGCGTTATCCGGGCCACAGAGTATGCTGTCGAACTGGGGCTCCAATGTGACAAATTGGAACGTTTTGTTTACGTCTCAACAGCGTATACCAATACCCATCTGTGCAGCCTGTCTCTCAAAGGAGATGTGGAAATGGAAGAGCGTATAGTACCACTTGAATCTACCTCTCCCAATAATGTTAATTCCACTGTGGACGAAGAATACTCGGAACTACAGTCACGAGGATCCACCAAAGAATACGAAAGCAACGACTTTCCCTGGGGTTATGTGTATGCCAAACATCTTTCCGAGCGCCTAGTCACGGAAAGGTTCACAAGACACGGCAAGTACGACCGATTGCTGATTTTACGGCCCTCGGTGATTGGGCCGGCCGAGAGCCTTCCATACCCCGGGTATGCGGTTCCCACATCGACCCCAATGACTATGATCGTGGCCTTGTTTGTCAACCATACAGCGTTTTCCTTTGAATTGTCCAGCAGGCTAGACGACCCGGAATCAGACTCCAATCTGGACGAAGTCCCTGTTGACATCGTTGTAGATCGCCTTCTGGCTCATCTGGCTTACCAAACCCAAGGCTGCGTCCATGCGGTAAGTGGCAGAAAAGCTCGGATTTTCTTCAGGGAGGTAGAAGCGGCAGTTTACCAACTCCGATGGTTACCTTGGCGGTTTCGTTTAACGTGGGTGAAGGAGAACGGGTGGAATACCGAAAAGTCAAACGCAATCAGTCGTCTATACAAGATCTTTGGTACTTCGTTCAACTTCCATGAAGGGAAGACTGAGCAGCTGATGTCGAAGTTGAGCGTGGAAGAAAGAAGGACATTGCGGTTGTTCAATACCAGGAAAGTCGGTGCATTTGAGCTAGTGTCCCGCAGCAAGCAGATGTATGATTGCTCGACTATATTCGCCAGGAAGATAGCTTATCCTTACCGGGCCTTTTACCAACTGTTATGGATTATCTGGTGGGTTTATGTCAAATTGATTGTTGCTTGGGCGGGATTTGATCTGCGGACGGTGACCCGGCAGCTGTTCGCTGGACGAAAGGTCCATTAACAATATTCATTATTGCGCGACTTTTCTGTTTTGATCGCCTTTCGCCGCATGTTCCAATAGGAAGCAAAGCAATGATACGTTGAGAGATGATGAAATGGTGTACATCAGGTGCGTGATGCGAGACGATGGGCGATGCGGGGGGGTGTTGGATAGACGTTGGGAATGAAGTTGTAGAAAGGAACGACCTAGAGATTGAAGGGGTCAGGTGATCAGCATCAACATAGATCATGGTATTAGAGCTCATTGATATTCTACGATGGTACATTGCTGGTTTATGGAAAGATATAATGACACTTAGCAGACCATGAACTCCTTTCTACTTGCATTCTTTGTCTGGTGCGCACCGACTGAAATCATGTATTGCTAAATGTCTGCTGCAAAGCTGGCGAAAGAAAGACCTGCGGGTCAAATTTACATCACCATAGTAGGTAGGATACAACGAAGCGTCCCCGGCGGAAGTGTCATTCACGCTGCCAGCCGGTCCTGTCCTGGCTTTGCCGGCGTCCGGTCCAAGCAAAAACGGCCGAAGTAAGAAATGTGGAAAATCAAAGCTCCAAACGAAGGAGGGATGAGAATATAGAAGAATGAAGGATCAAAAGAGAAGATAGACAGGAAGAACAATAGGGTCAAGTGTCAATGCAAGAACCCAGACCCTTGGGCAGAAGAGAAGAAGAAAAGATAACGAAGTCACAAAGTGAGGACCTGATGTGTGCAAGTCCGCGACCGACGCCAGCAGCAATGGAACAAGTAACAGATGTTCAAGGAAGAGATGAGAAGAGCAGCAGAACTCCATTGACGGACTTAGACCAGGTGGCCTCAGTCTCTCTATCTCGCGGCACAGAATGTCACACTAAAGTTCCTTTAAGTTCTGATTCTAACGATTAAGAACTCGGATTCTTTGGCTCAGGCTTTTTCAGGTTGTTGACCACCTGCTCATGGCTGTGCTCGTTGACGGAAAGCTCGGGCCCAGGCTCATCATTCGACATCTTCTGCAGAATCTCTTCTTGTGCCTTTGCAGCCGTCGTCGGATCATCTGCAATTCCCGCACTGGCCATGCTCTTCCTGGCGCCTTCGATGATCTTATCGGCCTCGCTCATCCCGCGATCCACATTCGAAGAAGGATCTCCGTCCACGCCGATAGGCTCCACGGTGCGGTTGATGACATCCTTCACCCGGTCAGAATCGAAGCGAATCACCATACAGGAAAGGTTGTCAGTGCTGAACCGCGCAAGAGCATGGTCGACCAGAATTTTGGATGCTTCCTGGGCATCATGCACATTGCGGATAAGATCTACCGCTTCTTGGTCGCTACACACGTCCCAGAGCTAATAATCTCTGTTAGCAAGAAGGTTTTAAGCGAGATAAGAAGAGTTCAAACTTACACCATCACAAGCGAGGATGATAAACTCATCTGAGTCGGGTTGGATCACTGTTTCGGTAGTATACGGATGTCCGGTTACCAGATCCTTGAGATACGCATCACCAAGAGCTCTAGTCACGGCAAGCACGCCGTTGACGCGATTGTTCAATATTAATCCTCCTGCATTAGCTATCCGTTTCCCTTCGTTCTCATCACTACCCTTGTGATCGTAGGACAAACGAAGTGCCTTGCCGTTGCGGCACAGAATAATGCGGGCATCTCCCACATTAGCAGTGTAGAGGACACGCTGACGGAGGGATTTCTCCTGTAATTTGGGAAGTATAGACGCCGCGCCGCCTGATACGGCGGCCTGAGTAGGCGTATCGCCCGCATCTGAATCGGCGTCGCCCTTGGAGGCAGCGGCAGCGGCAGGTGCAAGGGCCGCTGATCCCGTCGCGGAATGCGGACTGGGTACGCGGTCTTCCCATCTGAGGAGGGCAATGACCGCGGTACAACCACTGTTCTTCACAGGTAGCTTCTCCAGCTGCTGATCTACACTGGTAAACGTTTGATCCAGGAGTTCCGGAACAGGTGTGTTGGGATTTTTCCGCATGACCTCTTCCAAGATCAGATGCAGCTTTTTCCCGCACCATTCCGCCGCAAAGGTGCCTGCATGTCCATCGAAGATGGCAAAATAACCGTTGTCGGTTTCCACGACGGTCGCGGGGGGTTCCTCAGAAGTGGGCGAGGGGGCAGTGGGACTCGGGAGGGCTTTGCCATTGTTCTCAGCCAGGGCTAAAGGTGCGGGGGTCCCCAAGAAATTGTAGAGGTAGGCATGGGTATCTTCCATAGTCCGGCGACATTTTCGATTCCGATCTTCTGTCACGCCAACTTTAAACGAAGAGCGAGAAGTGGGGAGTGATTCTCCAGCCGAATTGTTTAACGACCCTTGGGGAACGCTCAGAGCTGGGTCCATGCTCCCAAGCCTATTCAACGCAGGCTGTTCTTGGATGGTGTAGTTGTTGAAGGAGTTCTCGCGCGGACTGCTCGACAGGCTGAGGGAGTTCTTAGCACTGGTGAAGAAGGATGCTGCCTTGGTGACGGTGCTACTCCGGCGCTTCTTTTCGCCACCAGAGTTGTTCTGGTCCTCACTGGTCCGTCGGGTGAAGAAGCCGCCAGGAGGAGAGGACTTCTTCTGGCTGATGCTGGCTTCCTCGGTGTGGATGCTCAAGGGAGGCGTATCAATGGCGCCGGAACGAGTGATGGAATCTGTCTTGTCTTTGGGTGGGCTCGAGGAGCCACTGAACATTCTGTTCAGCAACCCACCCTGGCTAGAAAAACTTCTCCGCTTATTCCCTGCCAGCTTGATGATCGTTGATGGGTGAGGGGGCTTAAAACCGGATCAAAAGTTCGAGAGAGTGCGGAGGGGGGCGGCGGCGGCGGCGCGTGGGGAAGGGGGGAGAGAGCGCCAAAGAATGAAAGCCGCCGGGAGGACTGACGTAGGATGCGAATTGCGGCGGAGGCGAGATGATCTAGCTGGGTAGACAAGGCATGTCAGCGTCTCGATCCACTACAAGATCAAGTTTCCAGCTAAGCACGATGGTGATGGGATCGGCTTGAAGATTCCGATGGCTTCCAGCCAGCAATGCGGGCGGACAAGTGACATGGTGGTCAGGCAACGCCGGATGCATGCAGTGGAGCGGGCTATATACACCCTTCTTCCGGCGACAAGCGAACAGTGGCAGAAAAGTAATTCGAAACATAGGGAGAAATATTCCGGAATAAATTCATCCATGTCGGAAGTTCAGACAGAAGCTAAAGAAAGGCACGTTATAGCAAGCGTCCTAAGCTCTCACCTTCCGAACCAACCCCACTGCGCGCCGGAGGGGACAGGGTTACAGAGCGACCACGGGGAGCGAGGATGTAGAAGGAATCGAGGACACTCACGGAAATAGGGAGAGAAATTGGCGATAGGCTGGGTTGTATGTCGACAAGGATGTGGAGAAGATCAAACAGAAAAAAGAAAAGGGGAGGGATGCGCAACAGTTGGATGTTGCGATGATGGGGGGGTGGGGAGAAGAGGGAAAGGGAAAAGAAGGAAGTTGGTATGGATCGGAGGTAATACTAGTAGTAGTAAGTAGTAGTAAGTAGTGGTGGTGGTAAGTGAGGCGGGCTCGGGATGGGGTCCTTTATTATTAGCAATCGTTGGTTCCTCCGGGTGGGAAGCACGCTAGGAAAAAGGGTACTTGTTACTTGGTACTACTTGCCATGTCGTGCCCAGCAAGTTAAGTGCACACCAGCACTACTCCCACTCACTACAACAGTTTCCAGCCGATCGGACACAGTCTGGTTACTATTTTCGGGAGGCGGTGAATCGAGGTCGTCATAACGTGACCCTGAAGGATGGTGCGTGGAGGATGACGCAGCGGCAAGGTCCAGATGAGAGATAAGTGAAAGAGCATTATGAGCCTTGATGTGATTGGTGATAGTGCCAGAACGTTCATTTCCCTATGAATCTATTCCCTGTACTCATTCCCGTCATGTTGCCTGCAGTATCTTGTGTTCGGAATATCCCCTAATAGCCACAAAACCATCTCTACACTATATTTGAACAATACAGTAAACCAAGCCCAACTACTAGTAGTTCTGATCATCAACGCCTATTATTGTTATACACATAAAGTAGTATGATCCCCATTATATATGAGCTCCTAATCCCATGAACTAAAATCCCCAAACCCGCCTCCACCCTTGAATTTCTTTCGCATCGGCTCGGGTTCGGGCTCATCATCTATAAATTCCACAATCTCATCCTCCTCCTGCCCAGCCCTCTCGGCCAGCGCGGCTTTCAGGTACTTGCCGACCCCGCCAGAGCCTTCGTCTTTCTCTCCGCTTCCTGCGCCACGGACTCTTTTGCCCGTCCAGGTCATCCGGTCGTCTTCGGCGCGACGCGCATTCTGCTCTTCTTCCTCGGGGTTAACAAGCAGGCCCTTCGCCTTGGCCTCCTCGGTCTGTTTCTGCTTCAAGAACTCTTCGAACGGATCCACAAACACCGTCACATCGGTAATGCGGATGTCCGGAGTAGGTCGGTTAGTAGTCGGATTTGTCGGGTGCACTTCAAGGTTGTTCAAGGTCGTGGAGGAGGGCGTGGGGTCATCAATGACATGACCGAAGATAGTGTGCTTGTTGTTGAGATGGGGCAAGGCACGATAAGCAATGAAGCTAGTCAAGGGGTAATTTGTTAGCGCAGGCCCTCAATCTCCATCTTGGGAACTTACAATTGACTGCTGTTCGTGTTCTTGCCCTTGTTGGCCATACTGAGGGTACCCCGGGAGTCGTGCTTCAGTGGACCTTCGAACTCGTCATTGAAGTACTTCCCCCAGATACTTTCACCACCCCTTCCGGTCCCAGAGGGATCACCACCCTGAATCATGAACCCCTTGATGTTGCGATGGAAAGCGACATCTCTATAGTAGCCCTTCTTTGCCAGCTTGATGAAGTTCCACACGGCCTTCGGTGCGTATTCCGTATGTAATTCCAAATTTACATCCCCGACGTTGGTGGAAATACGAGCGTAGCCCTTTTGCTTCACTCGCCCTCTCTTCAGCATGTACTCCTCGTCGGACAAAAGCGCAAGCTCGGCAGAGGTGTGGGGCGTCATCCCCGTACTGGTGAGTGAGGCGGCGGCCAAACCAGTAGTGTGTTTGGCCGCATTATACGGCACAGCCTTGCCAGATTGAAACGACGCCGTCTTCTGAGATTGCGCCGTATTTCCCGCATTTCCAGATTTAGTCAAGTCTTTCGAAGCGGCCGCAGAGCCAACACGTTGCGATCTTTCCGCGCGTGCCTTGGCCACGGCTTCCTTGGCCTTCAGGATCTTGGCCGAACTGCCCAGCGCGTTGACGTTCACATTGTTCGAAGGATCCTCCCTTTCCCGGATCTGCTCGTCCGTTAATCCACTTTCGCCTTCCTTGAGATAGTTGAAGGAGCTCAAGTTCCGCGACTCGACGTTCTGCGGGTCCTGCAACGTAATGATGTCCTTGCGAGTGAACTCCTCGTCCGTAACC